TCATTTATATGAGTTCATAAATATGAAGGCGTGTGACTTACATCAACAGATATAAGTGCCCGAGTGGGCTCAGAGTGCAGAGAAGGAGCAGGTGGAGGCATTTAGCAGAAACCGACGGGTCTATACGGAGAGGAATGAAGAGCAGCGTCTGAGAGCAGATGTGGCAAACAAGTAAACTTTCCAACCGTTTCATACCTTTGAACATCTGGAGCAGAAACAAGGCTTCATGTCCTGGTTTGTGATTCAAAGGATGACGACGATGTTTTAACTGTCCTACAGGCTGCTTCAGCGGCGCCCGTTGGCGCTCTGCTGTAAATGGGTAAATGGAGTCTGTGCACCAATAAGAGCAGAGCTCTGTGTCCTCTAGCACGTGCTCAGTGGCTCTTGTTGCATTTTTTCAGCTCATTTGCAGAATCTGTTCACACCCCAGTCACGTTTCTCACTCACTATGTGTTAACAGACCTCTCTGCATTGAATCATACCTGTTATTAATCTCTGTCTCTCTTCCACAGCATGTCTTTATCCTGTCTTCCTTCTCTCACCCCAACCAATCACAGCAGATGGCCCCGCCCCTCCCTGAGCCTGGTTCTGCTGGAGGTTTCTTCCTGTTAAAAGGGAGTTTTTCCTTCCCACTGTCACCAAAGAGCTTGCTCATAGGGGGTCATATGACTGTTGGGTTTTTCTCTGTATCTACTGAACAATATAAAGCGCCTTGAGGCGACTGCTGTTGTGATTTGGTGCTATATAAATAAAATTGAATTGAATTGAATCGCTCACGCTCAGCCAAAGCCTCTGATCAGAATTCCTGCCATCAGACTGGGATTTCCTTTAAAGCTTTCCAACGAGCTGTTTTAGAGTTCACACAATAAAGTAAATGCTCATTCAACGCTTTCTGCATTTGTTTGGAGCCCAGTAACCAATCAACCTGCGGTTTGAATTCATGTCATTTTAATCTAAACTGTCGCCTGTTTCTAAGACTGTCTCACAAGTTTTTATGACGAAACAAATCAACAGGAATCATCAGCCCCGACACATCAAGCCTCCAGAACTTCCAGAACTTCTCTTCTTGCACACATGAATGAGCAAATATGTCATGAACTGTGTGTGGAGCAGGCAGGATTGGACCCAAATGTCAGGCAGGACTTGACACAAACACACAATAGAGCAGCTGTGAGAGAATTCAACATTAATGAATCAATGGTACAGAAGTGGAGGAAGCGCAGTTTTTGGCTTTCCCCATATTCCAAAACGTGCTTCGTCTCTTCACTGTTACTGTCGCGCGACATAATTTGCAGATGATGTTGTTTAACCCTAACCCCCAATGCTTTCGACCAAAACAGGCGCAGCTTGATGAACCATCAACATGCGCTATCGTGGTAGAGCGGTGTGGCCAAAATCTCTACTGTTGGCCAACTTCACACCGTTTCTACTGTCCTACTTAGACATAAACCATAATACAAAATGACATCAAAACAGTGGGTCAACTGACCCAGGACGACAAAATATGAGACTAGATTCAAAATAATTGTGTTCATGTGCAGAAAAACAAATAAATTCAGTTTCATGAACATTTTAAACCCTGTGCTGAAGGTTCCCTACAGAGAGCATGTCAGATGTCACCAAACGAGCCGTGTTAGTGATTAAAGTCCGTCTGAGCCTCATCAGTGCCCAACATTTGCAATTTGGTGCTTGTGCTTTTGGGAGGGGATCAGAGCTCTTCTGGCAGATCCTGCGATGGCCGATATGTTGGAGCGCTGTTGTGTGGTCCAGGTCTTTACACCAGACGATGAATAATGATGAGAATCGAAGCTAAGCGGCCAGTCAAAACGCCAAACGCTGAAGGACAAAGTGAGGTAAACGCCGCTGAAACACATTATTAATGACGAGCAGCAGAGAGCAGGTTAAAGAGCACAGACATGTTCAGCATCAACAAAGAGGATTCAGAGTACGTCCTGGGAACGAGCGCAGTGGGTTTCATAATTACGGATGTTTGTGCACAGACTTCAGAGAGAGACACAGCCAAGCAAACACAGCTGAGAAAAGTGAAACAAAGCTTGTTTCACCAGCCCAGTCGGGCCTGCACACCAGGTCAGCGCTCATCAACACTCCAGTCATGAGGAAACGGCGAGCCTGATAACATCCCGCTTTGCTCTGCCATTCACTGTCTGAAGACGCACCTCAGCAGTCCTGAGACGTCTCACGCAGAGAGACCAATTTGAGTTGAATCTAACGCGCCTGCAGTTGATCTGCAGCCAGGCCTCAGCTTTTAATGGGATAAAATGGCCTGCATTTGCAAAGCGCTTTACACTACAGTCATCCACACACTGGTGATGGCAGCTACACTGTAGCCACAGCCACCCTGGGGCGCACAGACAGGGGAGAGGGCGCCGGACACTGGCGCCACCGGGCCCTCTGACCACCACCAGTAGGCAAACAGGGTTAGTATCTTGCCCAAGGATATTTGGCATGCAGCCAGGAGGCAGCCTGGGATCGAACCACCGACCTTCTGATTAGTGGCTGACCTGCTCTGCCACCTGAGCTACAGCCACCCATGCCTATTGTTTCTGATTTGTAAGACTTCAAAATAGATAAAAGTCCTGTATTTTTTTTTTTTACTATTAG